AAGAAAAAAACGGGATAATATTAGGCTTACTTGAAAATTCAGAAATTTCTCGGCAGACAATTTCTGATCACCATTTTTGCCGAAGAAATAACACGAAAGTGCGGAATTGATGTGTTTGCTGGCGTAGAGACCAACTGCTGCGTGATCACGATGGCGCTGTCCGACATTTGTCTGGGAAAGTACCAAATCCTACACAAAACTGAGGCTGTAGCACTATTCACTGTTAAGTGTGCTTTGATAATGTGAAAAGTTGCAGCACCTGCACTTTTTCAAATTCACTTTTATCCAAATAACCGTCACCATTCAGGTCGAATATACGAAATGCCAATGCGAAATCGGATGGAGGCGCTGGAAAAAAAAAAATTAGAAATTTCTCAATTTGAGTAATGCAGTAAAAAATCGATAAGCTATTTGAAATGCTGGTGATTCAGAGATGAACTATCTGAGAAAACTTCTCAAGAGAGGTTCTCAGGAAGCGGTAATTTACGTGTGGTAAGATGGTGGTCAACACGGGATCAGCTCATCTTCCATCACTGTATTCATTCTCTCTATCAATGCAGCTGAAAGCTTTTCGCGCACTCAGTTCAGAACTTGCCATATTCACACGGCTGATCTTCGAACGAGCCTTCAGGTACACATTTTCTTCACAAAAACAGCCTTTTCAGCAAAATAGCGCAGATTCAATTCAACAGCTCAGCACTTAACTCCTGTACTATCAGCCAGACCTTCTGCATACTTTGTTCCTATGAGATCCTTCATACTAGACCGATACAGCAATATTTTACTGAGAGCCATAATTTTTGAACTTACTGGAGAGGACCGTCATTAGGAACAAGTAATCCCCAAAACTTATCAGGCCATGTTCATCCAGCTGGGTGAATATGCTCTCTGGACCAGCAAATGTGCGCTTTTTTTTCTGCAATAGTAATTATTTGAATAAGTAGAAGTATGACAACATATGTGTTAGTTACCGTTTGTAATAATTGGCGCCTCCATGTGACAGTTTTCGAAGAACTACATCTGCATATGACCTTCCCACCAGCTGCGTGCTGCTTGACCTGGACCGCTGTTCAGTATGACGCAAAATGAATTTTAGCTCAACAACTGATCTGACTTTCAGATGGCTGATAAAAGACTCACATTTGGATCATAAATTTTGAATTTATCAAGTTCTAGGCCACGAGGCTGCATTATTCCTGGCGTCAACGAACGCACAAAATCTTCAGGAGTCATGTAAATCTCGAAAGCTCGCGGCGAACCCTCTTCATTCATAACCTGCAACACAAATTCCACTTAGACAAGCATCATAATTCGAAGGTCAGAGAACTTATATAATGTAAAAAATCTCCAAACAAACGACTTGTTTGTCAGACATCGAAATTCGATGTGAAGAAGGCAGGTGTACTTTCAGCGTATACAATAAGACCTTGGACTACCTATTCACAGCAAAACAGGATGTGTATCCAAAGTGTGTTAGGAAGCACACAGTGCAAGAAAGTGACATTGTATTACAGCTAATTTGTCATGCACGTATATGCATTGCTCCAAAGGGATTCTGAAACAGGGCTAGTAAACATTTACAGACATAGAGGGTTCGATATTACCAAAACAGAACATTCTATCCTCAAATTTTGCTTCTGGGGCCGATCTACACTCAGCAAATTGTTCTTCCTGAGGTCTCAGCAATTAAAAATCCAGTCAGCACACTGACCACATAGAAAATGCAGGCTCACAAATAATGAAGTGACAAAACCGCATGGTCCTGCCGAATACTTTCCAAAACAAACATAGCAAAAATCTCGAAAAGTTTGTAACCAGTATGCATTTGTAGGCCTGTTTAAAACGGAAAAAAGAAGGTACGGGAAGGAAAATTACCGAACGAGGGCTTACTTTCAGTGTTGCAAAATAGCGGAAAATTTTGTCCGGAGCGGAATAGGTGCGTATGCGATTTTCGTATTCGATAATTCGTCTTTCTCGAAAAGTCACTTTCTTTTTTTTCTTTTTTTCTTCTTTGTGAGTGACACCTGTGAGTGCATGATAGGGCTCCGTCGGCTCGCTGTTTTCATTCAGCCCACGTTCAGCAGCTTCGGGACGAAAATTCTTTGTGAGCTTTTTAATCTGATATCCAAGCCTTGAAACAATAAGAGAGAACAAACCGGATAAACTGCCTGCACACTAATAACCCCGATACAGCTGATAACATGGCCGCAAGAGTGCACTCCTATAAACTAGGCTGAACGGAGCGAATTGGAGCAATCCAGAACACAGCAATAATCCACACGGTGCTATCGCTCGCATCAACTTTTTC